CTGTCAAAGACCTACTATTTTCAGCTTCTAATAATCTAAAACTTTATGCTTTTGCTGATTCAGATTGGGCAAGATATTTTGATACAAGAAACTCTATTACAAGTTATTGTGTTATTCTTGAAAAAATATTTTGTACCATAATATACTTCATTTTATAATATCAATGAATCATTGATGTTATTTTTCTTATTATACACTTAAATGTTTATTATTATCTCTCCTATTAATTATAAAAAATTGTTTTTCTAATACCATTAATGAAGAATAATTTTGTAAAATTCTTTCTAATTTCTCTTTTTCATACAACAATTATTATATTTTTTAATATTGGTGAAAAGTAAAAAACGATTTATAATAAAAAAAATGGAAGGAATAACATTTAAAAAAGAAATAAAAGATAATGTACTCTATATATTTCAAACTATTTCACTCAATTGAAAGTTTTGTGGGACGAACTCGAGAACTATCATCCTATTCTTGCATGTTCTTGTGCAATCCCTTGCTCTTGTGGTGTTATTATTTCTTCCTAGAAACACCGTGAGAAGGATCATGTAATTAGGTTTCTCAAGGGATTGAACAAAAAATTTACACATTCCAAATCACAGAGTATGATGATGAGTCTGTTACTAGACATTGGAAAAGCCTTCTATCTTGTTATTCAACAAGAATAGGAAATGAACAACTCTTCATCTCTTTTTGATCATTCTTCAGTCAACAATGAAGAGAATGTTGCATTTCAAGTTCAAACATAATCAGAAAATTATAGTGGTAAACCTGGACACGGTTTCTTCAAAGGGTAGAATCAAGGATTCTGTGGTACAAATACTCATAATCGAGTATGCACTCACTGTGGCAAAACAAATCACACTATTGAAAATTGTTTTCTCAAACATTGTTTTTCACCAGGATTCAAAGGGAAAGACAAGTTTTAGAATTATACAAGTAATGCTCAACTTACTGTTATGGTTAACACCACATATGATTCTTCTCAACAAGGTTCACTTGCATTTCCAATTTGTTTCACTCAAGAGTAGTACAACAACATCATTGAGTTGCTTCAACATTCCAAGCTTAATTCCCAAGCCAACTCCATTTCTACCTCACCCTTAATAATGCATTCACATTCATCCAATAATAATGGTAAGAGCCCTCACCTTTGGATTTTAGATACCGGGGCAACTAATCGTATTTCATTTTATAACACATCTTTCATCACTGGCAAAAACATCATTCATGTGCATGTTAATTTACCTGATGGCTCTCACATTATTTCATCCATGTCTTTTAGTGTAGCTATCTCACCTTCATTAACCTTACACAATGTGTTATACATCCCTAGTTTTCATGTTAGTGTGATTTCTATTGCTAAACTAGCAGCAATAATGATTGTTTTGTGCATTTTAATGTTGATACCTGTCAAATCCCGCAGAATCATTCCAAAGAAATGTCTGGTATAACTAAATTGCAAAGAGGGCTATATGTTCTTGATTCCACAAGTCACTCCCCAATTTACAATTCTACTGTTAATTCATATTGTAATTTGTGGTATTTAAGGTTAGGGCATATTTCTGATATAGGCTTGAAAACATTTTCAAATTGTTTCCCTTTATCCATTGTAAAATAATGATGTTCCTTGTAACTCTTGTCATTTTGGTAAACAAAGAAAATTACCCTTTCCTCATAATATTACACATTATTATGACCTCTTTTGATATGTTACATGTTGACTTATGAGGCCTATTCTCTACTATATCTAACTAGGGCACATATATTTCTTAACCCTAGTTGATGACTATACTAGATATACTTGGGTGATCTTTCTTAAAACAAAGGATCAAGTCAAAAATATTATAATTCAATTTGTGGCCTATATAGAAAATCAATTTCATACTTCTCTTAAATGCCTTAGGTCAGACAATGGTACTGAATTTGTTGCTTTATCTGAATTCCTTTTGTCAAAAGGTACTATTTATCAAAAGTATTATGTTGAAACACCCCAACAAAATGGGGTGATTGAGAAAAAACACCAACATATGCTTAATGTTGCTAGGACACTATACTTTTATTCCAACACACCTTTAAACACGTGGAGTTTTTGTGATCAACATGTCATACATATAATCAACAGATTCCCTACCCTTTTGTTAAAATCAGAGTGTTCTTACGAAGTTTTATTCTTACAACCACCATCTTTGATACATTTGAAAGTTATTGGTTGCTTAAGATTTTCCATAACTTTACATGCTCACATGACAATGTTTGATCCTAGAGCTAGAAAGTCCATTTTTCTTGGATATAGGGATAAAACTAAGTGATATATATTTTATGATCTGCACAATCACAATATATTTGTTTCTCAAAATGTTGTCTTTTATGAAACTCACTTTCCATTCAAATTTATAACGGATCTCAAAACTCCACCAACCCTAACAATAACCCTTATCTAGTTTTTGATGATTTACTTGACCTGCAGCATCCTACAAGTACTATTGATGTATCCTTTTCTCATGAAAGTAATTCACCCGCCCACTCCCTTGATATGTCTCATCCTAATGACAGTCTTATACTTGTCACATCCTCTATCTATCCTACCTTTAACTCTCACATAACCTATTTCACCTACCAGTCCTGCAACCAGCATGTGATTACCTTTATCACCAAGTACTTCTACCTTACTAGCTTATGTTCACTGTCCTAGTACCTCTACTTCATCTTTACCCATCAGTCCCTCTATTGATACTCTTTCTTGATCACCATTTACCTTATGAACATACTGATGTTACCAGTCCTAATGTACATGAAATCTCTATGGTTCCTGTAAGACAATCTACTAGAAATCTCATCTGCTAAGCTACTTGGCGGACTGCCATTGTTATGCTGCATTTAATAAATCTTTTGCATTGCATTCTAACATTTCCAATATTTCATATCCTTTATCATCTGTCATTACATACAATAATTTTTCATCATCATGTAAACAATTTTTGTGCTATATATCTTCCAACATTTAACCTAAAACCTTTAACCAAGCCATTAAGCTTGACTATTGGAAATATGCTATGGATGTTGAGTTACAAGCCCTTGCAAAAAATCACACTTAGGATGTAGTTGACCTACCACCTGGAAAAAACCTATTGGGTATAAATGGGTTTACAAGGTTAAATATAAAGCAGATGGCTCAAATGAGAGATATAGATCTAGATTGGTAGCTAAAGAATATACACAGATGGAAAGTATTGACTATTCTGGTACTTTTTCACCTGTTGCTAAGCTTACCATAGTTAGAGTACTATTGTCCATTGCGGCTATTAAAGGATGGCATTTGGAACAACTGGATGTTAACAATGCCTCAATTCAAGGTGATTTGCATGAGGAGGTGTATATTACCCCATCACCTTGTTTGTCTACTTCTAATCCTTCTCAGGTTTGCAGGGCTCACAAGTGCTTGTATGGTTTAAAATAAACCAGTAGACAATGGTACTCCAAACTATATTCTTTCCTAATTTCCCTAGGATATTCTCAGTCATAGGCTGACCATTCTCTTTATGTTAAATCCAGCTCCTAAAGTTTCACGATTTTGCTGGTCTATGTGGATGATATTATATTGGCAGGTACTTCTATGGCTGAAATTCAATCTGTCAAGCAGCTTTTAAATCACAAATTCAAAATCAAGGACCTTGATCAGTTAAGGTTCTTTCTTAATTTTGAAATAGCTAGATCCAAAACATGCATCTTCCTAAATTAGAGAAAGTATACATTGGAACTTTTAGAAAATAATGGGCTTCCTTTATTCCTTTTTATCTTAACTCTAAGCTTTCAATTAATGGTGACCAAAATTAGAAGATCTATTCAACTATTGAAGATTGATTGGTCAGTTAATCTATTTGACAAATTTCATACCTGATATATCCTACGATGTACAACATCTGAGCCAATATGTATCCCTTCCTCTTTTGCCACACTATCAAGTTTTAACAGCATGTTTGGGCATTTTAAATATGTCCTTGCCAAAGACCTACTATTTTCAGCTTCTAATAATCTAAAACTTTATGCTTTTGCTGATTCAGATTGGGCAAGATATTTTGATACAAGAAACTCTGTTACAAGTTATTGTGTTATTCTTGAAAAAATATTTTGTACCACAATATACTTCGTTTTATAATATCAATGAATCATTGATGTTATTTTTCTTATTATACACTTAAATGTTTATTATTATCTCTCATATTAATTATAAAAATTTGTTTTTCCAATACCATTAATGAAGAATAATTTTGTAAAATCCTTCGTAATTTCTTTTTTCATACTACAATTATTATATTTTTTAATACATGTGAAAAGTAAAAAACAATTTATAATAAAAAAATGGAAGAAATAACATTTAAAAAAGAAATAAAAGATAAATGAACAAAAACACTAGAAAGTCAACGAACATTTTTTCTTATCTCAACCTCTCAAAAATCAAGTCAAGTTTAATAATAAAAAATCTCAATTTTGATTAGATATAATCTTCATTTCAGCCCATTCATTTTGAAAGAGTCCATATTTTGAAAAACATTAACAAACTAAACATACAAATTATTATTAAAAATAAAAATATTGTTCCTAAATTAACACGTTCGTAGAAATTTCCTCAACCCTCTAGTAAAGACCATTTCTTTGTTTTGCCCTCAAGTTTCCTTACTTTGACTCTCAATCTATCTCACTCTCCAACCTTACAAAGGAAGGATTCAGAGTGAGTATATTTTCACCCTTCAGTTCACACCCAGGTAACCAAAATTACAACTTTCATTTGGGTGTTCTTGATTTCCAGTAATTAGGGTTTTGGATCTAACAAAATTCAAAACAAAATTTTGTTTTTTATCCTTCAATTGAGCTCAATTTTGTCAAATTTTGGAACTTTATTACTATTTTCGGAGTTCAGTACTATTTGTGATTGAATAGAAGGTGCTGTTTTGCATTTAGGGTTTTAGAAGCTGGATCTGATCTGAGCTATTCAGATGGGGGGACAATCTAGCAAGATGATGATTGATGCTAATGATTGCACAAAAATGGGTAGCCATTCTCTGTATGCAGCTGATTTGATTTCATATGAAGCTGCATGTGTTAAAGATCCAAACTTGCAATCTTTTGATGAGTCAATTAAACAGCGCACCAATAGGGTTATTAGTTCTCTTGCTACTGGTGTTGAGGTTAGGTCTTTATCTTTCGATTCGCTAAGAGAAGTTACTGACAGTTTGCTCGAGATGAATCACGAAGTTGTTAAAGTGATTTTGGATTGCAAAAAGGATATATGGGGAAACAAGGATTTGTTCTCATTGGTGGATGATTATTTTAATAACAGTATGCAGACATTGGAGTTCTGTAATTCTCTTGAGAAATGTTTGAGACGGGCACGCGAGAATCAAGTGATTGTTAAGTCGGTAATTACGTACTTTGAAGAAGAGGTGCAAAATGGGCTTGAAGGGGGAACTTGTGTGAAGACATTGCAAGAGCTTAAGAATTTTAAGGATGCCGGGGACCCTTTTACGGAGGAGTTTTATTTGTTGTTTCAATCGGTTTACACGCAACAGGCAACCATGTTGAAGAAATTGCAAATCCGAAAGAGGAAGCTTGATAAGGAATTGAAATCGCTAAAGTCATGGAAGAGGGTTTCTAATGCAATTTTCTTAGCTGCTTTTGTTTCCGTGTTGATTTTCTCTGTGGTTGCTGCTTCTATTGCTGCACCGCCAGTTGTAACAGCTTTGGCTGCAGCATTGGTTGTTCCGTTAGGGTCGGTTGGAAAATGGTGTAACTCACTTTTTAAGGGCTATGAGAAGGCTCTAAAGGGACAGAGGGAAGTCGTTGACTCAATGCAGCTTGGTACTTACATTTCACTGAAGGATTTGGACAATATTCGCGTGCTTACGTACAAATTAGAACTACAGCTTGAATCGTTATTGCAGAATGCTGATTTTGCGCTGAAAAATGAGGATGTGATAAAGCTTGCAATCGACGAGATTAAGAAGAATATAGAAACTTTTTCAGAGACGTTGGAGACTCTGAGCGCAAATGCTGATAAATGCAGCCGACAGATACGAAAAGCAAGGGCAGTCGTTATACAAAATATAATCAAAAGACCTGGTTGAGATTAGGTAACTCTGAATTATTCTATTGATTACATTCTCTTGATCCGGAGGCTACAATTGTGAAGTATGATTCAGTAGTAGCAAGATATCATAACTTCAATAAGATGCCTTAAATAAAGAGAAAAATGAAGATATAACTTGTGTAGAACATTTATATATTTATATATAATATATAACTTATGTGTAGATATTTGAAATCTCCTTTGTCCAATAACAGAACATTGATGGTGAAAATGGTTATGGCATTATAGATTTTGGCATCTTAACTTCCATAGCCTTAATCAACATGAAGTTTTAATGGGTTCTTTGTGAGAAAACAACAAAGGAATGCTTTCAAGTTCTGTGCTTTTTCTCGAGCTATGAGAACATTTGGTGATAGTTCATTCATATGCTTGCTCCATCGGAGAAAACATATATACTTTGACTTGTGTTGACGAGTTTAGGGGAAAAGTATATCTACATTACTAAATTTTTTAATTAACGTTCATTATTTCTGTAAGTTTATTTTGTATTTTTTGGAATTTAATAAACAATATAGAATACCGATAAAAATGAAAAAGATATCTTTTGAATACTTATCATCATTGGGCTAACATCATTTCTTAAAAGTTGAGTTTCTTCCTGCCACTTCCTAAATTTTACTTGCCATCCCTACTACATCCTATGTTTTTCTCGTAATATCTTTTGTGATTTTTTAAGTTTTTGAAAAATTGTGTGTTTTTTATTTTTATCGAATTTTTGAAAAATTTCACAAGCTTTTATCAAATTTTGAAAAAAAATTATCGAATTTGAAGAACCAGATTTTTAAAATATACCACAATATTTTTCAAAATTCTATGAATTTTTTATTGGATTTAAAAAAAAAAAAGGAGTTTTTATCAGATTTTTTAAAAAGTCAATGAGTTTTTATAGGATTTTTTAAAAACACTACGAGTTTTAATCGGATTTTTCAAAAATATGAGTTTTTAGTGGATTTTTTAAAAGTTTATAAGTTTTTATCATATTTTAAATAAAATTATAGGTTTTTACCGGATTTTTTAAAATAAAGTATCAAAATTTTTAAAAATCTATGAGTTCTTACTGAATTTTTTAAAATATACTATCAAATTTTTTAAAAATATGAGTTTTTGAAAAAAAAATTCAATGTTGTATAAGATTTATCAAAAAATCTGATAGTGTTAAATTCGTTTTTTTTTTCTTATCAAAATAAACTATCATATTTTTTAAAAAAAAATTCAAAAAATTACAAAATATATAGGATTTTTTGAATTTCTCTAGTAAATTTATTCGTTCATTCTTTTTACTTAAATTTTGACAAAAATATTGTTGTTACTATGAAAATATATGGAATGTCAGGTCAAACTTTCAGAAAATCCAATGTTGTATTACATTTATTGAAAAATTTGATAGTGTTAAATTTGTTTTTTTTTCTTATCAAAATAAAATATCATATTTTTAAAAAAAAATTCAAAAAATTACAAAATACATAGGATTTTTTGAATTTCTCTAGTAGATTTATTCGTTCATTCTTTTTACTTAAATTTTGACAAAAATATTGTTTGTCACTATGAAAATATATGGAATGTCAGATCAAACTTTGAAAGGGATATGAAAAAAGTTCTCTAAAGTTCTTGAGTTTTATTTAAGGGTTACTTTAATATTTCATGAGATACTAGTTCACTATTGTGAAACAATTAAAAATGCTTTATAATTTAAAATATGTATTTTCAACGCATTTAATGAGTCATCCCATTTTATCAAAACTAATTCGAAAATGCATTTCAAAATATTGTTGAGATGCACAGTTCACCCATCCTTGCTTTATAACTTGGGTTGAACAATATTAAAATTCAGAAATTTTTTTAAGGCATTCTATGAACTTTTTAAACACCATACTGATTTTCTATAACGCGTATAATTTTTAAAAATATATTTTCGGACGTATCATATTATAATTAAACGTTAAGATATTTTAGAGATATATCTCCGGACGCACTAAAGATATATCTCTGGAACAATTTAGAATATTGTCGCGTTAGACTCTTCTCCCACACTTTTTCATTTTCATACACTAAATTTTTCCACTCTCTCATCCTCATATTTCTCCAACTTCGCCAAATTGCATTTCATTCATCAGAGGCTCTAGTAATCATCAATCATCATTCATTTCATCATTCACCATCTTCCTAATTATAAATTTCAAGTAAATTTTTCGAGTTTTCGGTAAATACTCAAGTTTTGTTGTAAGCGAGTTAGAATCCATTGTTAGGTGTCGAAATATTTAAAAATCAGATGAAACATAGTTTAAGGTAACTAACATAGTTTAAGGTAACTAACTGCTTGTGTTGTTTGTTGGCTCAAATGGACGACCAAGGCTTCAAATTTCTCATTCTGAGGGGCAGAGGATGCCATTGTCGCGACTTTAGAGTTTTAGAATGTTTCGAAGATACATCTCCGGAATCATTCAACGTTTCATGTACTCTGGGTGATTTCGAAGATACATCTGCGAAATGTTTCCGTACTTGTATCTCCGGAATCACCTAGAGGACATGAAACATTGAATGATTTCGAAGATGTATCTCCGAAACATTTTTAGTCTTTTTTTCTTTTTGTTTTATAAGTTTTCTTTTTGTGTAAACTCATTGTACGATTAATACCTTGTAGGTATAATGGCTGAAAAAGCCGACCGATTGAGGCATGGACGGGTAGCCCAGCACACATCTGTTAGACGAGAGCGGAATTAGCCGGGTCCAAGTGCAGCAGGTACCTCTGGTCAGGGAGAGGTGTCGACTTCTGGTGTGCAATCTACTCCTGAGGCTCAGTCCACTTTCGGGGTCCAACCTTCACTTCAGGCCACTCTATCTACATCTCAGGTCACTCCAGCTACATCTCATCCCACTCCATCTACATCTCAACCCACTCCAACTTCTTCTTCTTCTTCTTCTTCTTCTTCCCGCAAACCACAGGATGCACCAGCTAACGAGTCACTTCTCTCATCCTCCCGCATGCGGTGGGATGCACATGTGACACCTCCTATTGTTCCGATCGCACATGCTAATTGAGATGGACCGGTGCCACCTCCGGAGGGTGATGTTGTTGATGCCGAGCCAGAGGCTTTCGAAGGGAGGTCTATTTGATATGTCCCTACTTCCTCTCTCCCAGACCATACTGCCAGATATATTTGGGATGAAGATGTAACATTAGTAAAATAATTACTATATATTTTACATTAATTTAAATTGTTAACATTGATTATTTTTGGAAATTCGCAGGTGCCTGATGTCCAAAAGTTTCTGAACCATGGGCGAAAGATTTTAGCATTGCATTAGCCTGATGAGGAGTAGTTTCAGTCGGTTCTAACTGCTTCTGGGTTGAATGGCATATGCTTGACCGATTACATGTGGTCAACCACAGGATGCTTAATGCATTCGTGGAGCAATGACACTCTAAGACCTCTTCCTTTCATCTCCCGCATGGTGGGACGTCGATTACATTGGACGATGTCTCATCTTTGTTGCATCTACCAATCAGGGGGAGATTCCTCCATCATGGTAGGATGACCAAAGACAATGCGGTCAATATGTTGGTGGAGCATCTATGGGCTGATCCAGGGAAGGCGCTCGAGGAGGTGGATAGGACCAGGGGTGCTTATGTTAGGTTTTCGTTCTTGAAGGCAAGATTTGATGAGGCGGTCGTTGTTGTAGAACAAGATGATGGTGATACCCAGGAGGTGGCCATACACAAGACTCATTCTTTGAGCTGTTATTTTCTATTTTTATTTGGCACTGTGCTTTTTGTGGACACGAGTGCCACCTACATTGATGTTGCATATCTCTGGTACTTCTTGGATCTCACACGGATCCATGAGTACAACTGGGGGGTGGCTTACCTTGCATATCTGTATTTGAGGCTGAGAGATGGATGTCAGTGGAGGACGAAGCAGGTCACAAGCAGCATGACATTACTGGCGGTAATAATATTTTATCCTTGAATATTTTCTTATCTTTATCATTTCATATTTACAATAATTCTTGATCCCTGAATGTTTATAATTTTCACCGTTAGACTAATACTTGGATCATCGTCAGATACGACCATTGACGACATATCGCTATACTCCAGATGGCTAGCTTGCAGATTGAGTATCACTCCTCCTCATCTGCCCGAGTGCGTCATGCGGCAGTTTGGGTACACCTAGACCATCCCAAAACACCTTATTGTCTATGCACCTCCGACATTGACTCGTATACATATAGATGAGATGTTTACTGATTATCAAAGTAATATTGGTACCAGATGATGCTCGGGCTACCATAGTGTCGAATGACTGGAGCTACGTCGATGAATACATCAGGTGGTTCTTCAGGGTCTCACATCCGTACATGGTGTCTACTGCTTTAGGAGACCTGTCGAGACTCACTCATCAGGGGATTCTAGAGGAGCAGCAGGCTCAGAGGGATCATCCTCAGGACGTCTTGCCTCGTTGTCGTTGCATAGTGGAGATGGCGCAGGGAGGCATTGACAAGGGTATCTTTCCCAAGGGGTCTGTTGTCAGGTGAGTATTGGATGGCATTATTGCGGAGGTACAACAGGCTCTTTTATACCGCAGACATCGGACAAGGACAGGGCGATCGATGGCCAAGGAGGCAGATCTGGATGAGGCGGCACAGGAGGCAGAGGAGAGGTTGTAAGGCACACCTAGTAATTATCTATATTTATTTTGTTTCAATACTATAGTTTGTACGTTTTTCCTGACATTGTTACTACATTTTGGATTTATGTGACATATGACGTCCTATTACTATATTGTTATGTTATTTTGGTTTTTCTATTATTTTATAATTCATTTGCGAACAAGTATATAAAGCTTTTTATAAAAAAACCTATTCTGAAACACTTCGGAGATGTATTTCCAGAAAATTCCCGTAGATGCATCTCCAAAAAAATTCAAATAGAAATGGGCTATAGGGAGATATGTTGTGACCACTTAAGATTTAAAT